AGACAGAGAGACAGAAAGTGAGAAATCACCCCCCAGGGGGGATGGTCACGCCGCAATCCCTTCTCCTCCATTCTCTTCTCGGGATCTTGGGCACGCACGCACACGCGCCCGGTGTGAGTTTAAGCCACTGGGTCCGAGACTTGAAACGTGGTCGACCACGGGGGAGTCCAGCGACATAGCCATTATGCCAGCTGCTGGTCCTTCAAATATGTGTTTCTAGGCACAAAGAGAAACGGGTTGGGGATAATGGCAAGCAGAAGAGGAAGAGGCTTTTTCTGTTCATGTACCTTTGAATGAACTTGCTAAAACATAACACTTTTTTTTTTTTTAACTTTGCTATAGGGCATGTGCACTTGCCAAAGAGAGATAGAAAGAGAGAGAGGCAGAGAAAGTGAGAAATCACCCCCAGGGTGGAGGGAAGATGGCCATGCCACAATCCCTTCTCCTCCATTCTCCTCTCGGGATCTTGGGTGTGCACCACATGCGCCCAGTGTGATTTTCAAGCCACTGGGTTCGTGATTCAAAGTGCGCAGCCAGCCAGGTGGTGGAGTGGCGCTGCGCGGTACTGAGTGCACGTCTATGATCCTGGCTGGCTGGGAGGCTGAGGGGAGGACTGTAGTGTGGCAAGACCTTGTCAAAGGTACCTCTCTCTCTCATAAAATACATAAATAAACTTAAAAAAATTAGCGTAGAGATTTAGTGGAAGAAAAGGAACCTGTCTTAGAGACATCAGTCCACTCCCCTTGGTCGCCAGGAGGACTGAAACGGTCAAGGCTTCGATCCGTGGATCGCCCTTCCTCTCCCCACAGGGCATGAGAGAGAAAAGAGGGGTGGGCTGGGCCTGGGGAGAAGCTGGGAGCCACAGGTGGGGGAGCCCGAAGGTTGAAAGAGGAGAGCGAGAGTGTGCGTGTGCATTATGTAATGGGGGTGGGGAGAGGGTCAGAGAGAGGAACAGAGAGAGGCAGTGAGTGAGCGAGCGGGTGCTGAGGTCAGCTCCATGCCCGCAAGAGGGATTGCAGGGCAGGAGGACGACACAGGCCTTGGGGTCCCCGGGGCAGGGCTGTCTCACGACGAGGTAGCTTCAGTAGTCTCCAAGTACCTACCAGGGCTGTCCACAGACCCTGGACCCGGATGAAAACCCATCCACAGGCCTTTCGAACGTCCACCCACCCACTCACCCACCCACCCACTAAGCACCTGTCCTGCGCCTCCCCCAACGACGTGCTGGCATCGGTCTGCTCAGCACAGACACAGCCCTGTGCGTGGGGAGCTTTGTGTGATGGGGGAGCCCACACCTCGGTTTCCACCCTGGCTCCGTGTGGGCAGAACTTGGTACTAGCAGGGCTGTGCTTAGCAGGCAGGCTCTGACTCGGACACCATTGCAGCCCTGAGCCTGCCAGCTGCCTGGCACCAGGCACTGTGAATGGCGAGGCTGGGAGTGAAGAGGGGAAGCCACTCTCAGGACTAGAAAAACACCAACCAGGTCCCACTGGCAGGAGACTGGAAAGGCCCCATGATGGCCCTGTGCCAGGCTTCCAGGGTAGTCACTGAGGGCTGTCTGCTCCCTGGAGCCTGGCAGCTTCGAGGAGACTGGCCTAAGGAGGGACAGGGACCAAGGCAGCAGCCCCAGTAGCCTAAGTGGCTTCCCAGAGGGAGCAGGGCCGGCCGGCCGAGCCCTCCCCAGAGGCTGCCAGGACTTTGCTGCAAGGCTTAAAGGGGCTGGCTTAGGGTTGGCCCCCTGGAGTCTCACCTGCAGGGACAGGCTGATGCAGTTCAGGCATGATGGGCTCTGTGTGGCTCTCCAGGGCCCCCTGGAAACCCGGCACCTCAGCTCTCTGGGATGGGAACTCTGCCTTCCCACCTCCAAGGCAGTACCTCCTTAACTTCTTCCACCTCCCCCCTCCCACAGCACCGTGGATCTTCCCAGGTCAGTCCTGCCTACCACACCGTGCCCCCAGGCCCTGGCGTACCCTCTTCTAGGTGTGGGCACAGATGCCTCCCAGGCTCCCACAACCAGTCCAGCCCCAGCCCTCGCCATCCTGCTGCTGTGAGCTGCCACACGACAGGTCCCTGGACAGTCCCAAGACCAGGACACACCTGACACGGGGGAGCCTGACAGGGTGTGCGGCCTGTACCTAGGAGGAGGAGCCAGTTCACACGGGGAGCTGCAGGGTGCATGGCCCGGCCTCACTGTAAACTCAGTTATTCGGAGGTGGCGAGCCCCAGTGTGTGGGGCCACTGGCCTCCTCGCTCATGCAATTAAAAGGCCATCTGTGTCTGCATGGCCAAGGAGGGGCAGGGCTCTGCTCCTCCCAGGGTATGTGTGCGTGCATGCGTGTGTATGTGTGCACACGTGCATGCGGTACTGATCTGGAGCAGGCATGGCAGTGACAGCCCCGAGGGGCAGGGCCTCAAGTCACAGCTGCTCACACAGCCAGCTCACAGGGCCTCTCCTCAACCCACTTGCAGCAGAGTTCTAAACCCGCTAGCACCCCACTTCTGTTTCCATGGCCACACCTCTTCCCTCAGGCTGAGCGACAGGGGTACACCCAGGCAGGACTCAGCAGAGAAAGCCCCAGCCCTGAGGGTGGGAATGACCACTGTGGAAGGTGGCTTCTCCATGGCCACCCAGCCATTGTGCCCTGTTCAGGCCAGTGTCTGAGCTAGGCCCACTCCCCTCCTTCCACCTACTAGGACTCTACCTGCGTCCGCCCCCGCCCCCGCCCCC